ATTCAACCAATTAGTACAAGCCAACTATACTCAAAATAACCAAAAACATTTAAATCCTCTATTTTCTGATCTGAAATTTTGTAAGGGAGATGCTGACATGTATTGCTCCTCACAGCTTCTATATTCACTTTCTGTAACCTGCGTGTGAAACACTCACACGCTAAGTCGATGACTTAGTGAGGCATAAAGAAAACACATCTAATGGAATTCATACCCACTAATCATGCATGACTGTTTTATGCTATCAAATTATACAACTCAATTACATATACATCAACATATATTCATGTATATTATGTAACAGATACCATAACCCCTATCACACATATATCATATCATGCAATTCATATCACACATACATATCACACATATACATATATCACATACATTGTTCTCATATCACCAACCTGTTTATCCTTACTAATTCCCTTGTCATTACTTCAATTCCTTCATATGAGCATATAATGAATATAAACATATTATATATATTTTAATATGCCACAAATCATTACTAATTTCTATAATCATATAATACATAAATGCATAGCATCTCATATCACCATGACATATATGCACTTCTACCATGTCACGAGAAATACACATATCATTATATCAAATTGTGTTCTCTTTTCAAAGCCCATGTACACATGTAAGAACTATATATATGTGAGTCTATAGAGGTTGTGCACTATGCTGTCACCACAGCTCGTATAATTGCACCGAAGTGCCACGTAGAATTGCACCGGAGTGCCGCGTAGAATTGCATCGTAGTGCCATATAATAATGTCCATAAGGACCACATATCATTCCTTAAGAATCATATACATATACTAGGGATCAAGTATGTGTCTCACCAGACTTCACACATGTTCCAAAGAATACATATATGTCCCGAAGGACCACATATCATTCCTTAAGAATCATATACATATGCCAAGGATCAAGTATGTGTCTCAACAGACTTCACACATGTTCCAAAGAATACATATATGTCCCGAAGGATCGCGTAGACCCTCGACTCTTGGTATGCCAACTATACCCCTAGCTCTCATGACACATAACATGGGCATTAATATTTATGTTAACATACATTCACATATACACATAGTCATGTAGTTCTTTCACATAGCTATCATATAAATCACATATCCTATATACATATAAACACATAGTTCACTTACGCGTAGAACATTTCCATATAATGGCATAGTCATATAATATTTCATATAACATATATTTTTGCTTTCATATATCTCATATCATGTATCATATCTTGTGATCATATAATCATGTTACTTATAATCACATAACTTCTACTCATAGGGTTCATCATCATTAAACTTAGTTCCCTTTTTCATATCATCATACATTTATATATTCTTATATGTCCTATCAATAACCTATAAACTTACTCATATTCTCATATATCATATTTTAATATAATTTGTATAGTAATACTCTATAATTGTATCATATAATGATTTTACCCAAGTACTCCTTTATAAAGTTTATATTACAGGTTCAATTAGTATCATTCTATCCTATAAATAATTTCCACTTATTTTATATCATTTTCCTTTTCCACTCACATAAACCATCTATTTATTTAGTTCAATTTCTCATGACTTCCACAATACTCTTTAATAAAACTTTGTAGCTCTTCACTTTAATACATAAACCATAGTTTCCTTTAATTTATCAATCTTCCCTATATAACTTATGTATCCTTATTTATGCCCTCGAATTTATACTATTCTCTTAGAGTCTCCTAACATTTCTCGTATAATCACTTATACCATATCATATGACTTATACTTGATTATTTTATTCTCTCGTGTTCATTTCATTTCTTATGACTCTATCATATAACTTATTCCATGTTTTTCCATTATTACATAATAAAGTTTTACATAAATCATATAGCATATACAAAGCATATCATTATCTTTAGTCATGCATACATACAATCAATGTAATACATATAATCACATATAATTATAACAACACATAATCATGTCCATGACTTCATGCATATTACTCTAGGAAATAGACTCATCGCAAGTCTTATTTCCATTAACACTACATATCACTAGTATGCACTCACCTTGGCCTCACTAGTCAATTTCCAATCTCTTATCTTTCCTTGATCGATCTTACTTGCAAATGTTCCGGAATTGCTTTACGCGCAGAATCTACATAAATGTACATTTTGAGGCAATCATTAGATACCTACACCTTGTAATTGGATACTAGCAACTTAAACGAACTTATTAAACTAATATTCACATTTTTCCTTTAGGGGGAATCGATTCCCTCCTGTGGGGGAATCGGTTCCCCTATGAGATTCTGGAATTTCTGGTTCGCTTGAGGGGTATCGATTCCCCATTGAATGGGTACTGATTCCCTTGAATGGGTACCGATTCCACTTGCCCAAAATCATATTTTCAGCACGAAATTTACTCATTTCATCTTAAACACTTCATATTTCAACCTCTTTTATACTAAACTCAAACACACACACTTAAGCCCATTTGTACTCATTTAATCCATCTTAATTCTCAAAATCCTCTCCTCTTAATGAAATTCAAGAATTATACCCAAATTTCAACATGCTCTAAATTTCTTTCTGTCACTTCAAATCTCTTAATTCAACTATTGACAAATCAAATTCACTTAAAATTCAACTTATCAACTTTATTTCAAGATTTCATTCAAAAACTCAAAATCTTTAATCTCTCCTATACCTTTCATCTTGTTGTTTTAGAACCAATTAAGCTTTCCTTAAGCTTAATTACCATCCAATGATCAAAACCCAACCTTTAGTTGAACAAATAATCAACTAATGAAGAAACTTACCTTTGCCCTTGAGCTCTTACGGAGGAGAAAGAAGAAAGGAAGAGAGATGAAATGTTTTACTCTTCCACGTTTCAATCTCCTATTAAAGGGGATAAAAATATCTTTATTGTCAAATGACCATTTTGCCCTTTACTACTTTGGATAATTACTAAAAACTTCAGGGATTATCTCCACATAAATCATTGAACGTTTCAACTTTTCCACTTTAATCACCAAATTCTAAATTTTACAATTTAGTCACTAACCCATAATTTGGGATGTTACAGTATGACACATTTTCTTTTGCCTTTTGGCACGTTTTTCAGCCGTTTGGTCGTAGTTTTCTTTTTCTAAGGGTTGAATAGAAATCGCTACAACTGATCAAGATGGTGTTATCTGTTATATTATTGATCTTTCATACTTTGGACCCTCGGATTGGATTTGGTACCCGTTATATATTCATGGATAGATTTTCACGTCTCTTAAGTCTGATTTGCGGATTATCGGTGGTCTTTCAGTAGCTTGATCTCTTTTTGTAGTTCGTTTGTGATGCGGTCAGATCTGCTTGTATCTATCTTTGTTCAAGTTTCTTGGTTAGATTTTAATCTTTAATTGTATTGTCATTATGTGATCTTAAGTTGATAGTTTTGTTTCAATGATTATAGGAAATTATCCTAATTATATACCTAATTTACGATTATAATTGTAAGTCTTTATTGTAATTTAGGATATTTTTATTTTGAATAAATTGGTAATTTCTTTAAAAAAAACAATTAGAATGAATATTAAATGTAAACGTTTGTTACACAAGATGAATTTTAGACATATATATACATATATATATATTAATCTAAGGTGATTATAAATAGTATTTGTTTTAAAACATGTCAACTATTTGATAATGAAAGTTCAAACACATTTACGATCTTTAGTGTTTAAACGACCTTTAAAAATAACAATCATTCATTTAATCACTAATATAACTTAGTTCGAGCATGATAAATTCTATTATTACTAATTAAACTTGCAAGAGATGTATATAATACATGATTTAAGCTCATTTATTAATTAAATGTTATTACATATAATTATATACATCCTCCGAATATTGTGCTGACAAAAACATATTTTTGTTCAGCTGTAAAAGTGAAAATTATATAATTTTTTTATTACTCTCTTTGTCCTATTAAATCTATTTTTTTTTTAATTTTAATTCATTATTATTTAAAGGTTATTATTAATAAAAATATGAAAAATATATTTTACAAAATTTAAATCAAATAATTTTTAAATATAATATATAAATTTATTTTTTTAAATATTTAAAATTTTTACTTTTAATAAGTTAATAAAAATATATTTGATAAGACAAAGAGGAATATAAAATTTCAAATATTATACTATAGTGTATTTTAAAAAGGGGTACGACGTCATAGATCTTTTGGTATATCAGCCTCCATGTCATCTTAGAGTTTCGGGTAGTTAAATGGCCTGGAGCGGATGTAATGGGCCAGAGGCGGCTATCCAACAAATTTTACTATAATTTTAAAATTTTAATTTCTTCCCTCCAAATTTTTAGAAAATTTACTTGAAAATTCATATTTTAAATATTAATATATATTTAAGATATCAAATTTAAACTATAAATATCTTTACATATATTTTTAAACTTTTGTCCATAGCAGAATATGTTAATAAATGGAGAGTAGTAGTTTTAGTATAAATTGTATAATCTTCCATTATAGAATTGCGATTTATTAAAATTTGAATATCCACGTTCCAATGTATGTTTTTCGTACGATAAAAAGAAAGTACGGGTGAAATTCGTCACAGAAAAAAGGGGAAATAAAAATAATTGATGTTAATAAAAGGGGGAAATAAAATAATTGAATTTAGTATTAATATAAACGATAAAATAATTGAATTTAATAAATGAGCTACTTTTTATTTAATTTAATGAAAAATAAAAAATTAAAGTCTAAAAGAATTAAAAAAAATATTAAAGGCTAAATTGATACTTTTTAAAAAGGAGTTAAAGTTATAACTATCATTAACTTCAAATTATATCTTAAATATTTTGTAATAATTTATTATTTTAATCGTAATCCGTAGCAGTCAGCCTTAGCGACAATCCAAATTAAAACAAAAGTAATAGTATTACATGATAATATTTGGAGTGGTATTTTGGCTATTGGTTTGGTAGTAATAGTGAGGAAAAACTTCAATAAGTGGCCCTCAAAGTGTTCCCAATGTCAATGACGAAACGGTATTTGACATCAGACTTGAGAAGGCGTTGCATGGCAGTGTTCACATACTCCATGGCTACAACTTCAATGTCTGGTTTTACGTTATGTTTAGCTGCGAAGTCAATCATCTCTTGAGTCTCCTTCATCCCTCCGGTCAAGCTCCCTCCCACCACTTTCCTCCCTGCACCCAAAGTTTAAGGACATTATCTATCTCATATCACTTCACCAAAACATATGTACTCTTTTACCTTGGAGCAAAGGAAAAACAGGTAAATCTAGTGATTTCTCCGGAGCACCAAGAAGAACAAGCTTTCCGTTAGACTTCAACAGCCCAAGCAATGGCAGCAGAGGGTGTTCAGCTGATACTGTGTCGATGATTCCATCCAATGTGCCAGTGGAACCCTATACACAAAATAAGCTACTTACAGATTAACTTATATTAAGAATCCTTTGATCAAAAGAAAAAGTATGTAAACTAACCTGGAGCTGATCGTGGTCTCCGCCGCTGACCAAAAACGAATCAGCACCAAGATTTTCTAGAGCTTCCTTCTTTTTACTAGAGGAGGTGCTTATCACTGTAACTTTGGCTCCCATCGCCTTGGCGAATTTCACTGCAACATGACCAAGTCCACCCAGTCCAACCACGCCGATATGCAAACCAGGCTTATCAAGTCCATAATATCTCAATGGACTATACACCGTAACTCCAGCGCAGAGCAGTGGAGCAGCAGCATCAAGAGGCAACTTCTCAGGTATGCGGACGATAAAGTGTTCATCCGCAACCATAGTGTTGGAGTAACCTCCATATGTAACAGTTCCATCATGATATTTGGCCCCATTAGTCAGTATACTTTTGGGGCAGTAATTCTCAAGATCTTCTTTGCAGCTATCACAGGCACGGCATGACCCACTATATACCCAACGCCAACTCGATCTCCCACTTTGTACTTTTGGACCTTATTTCCCACCTCGCTCACTTCACCAACAATCTCATGCCTGCATGAGACGATGAATATACAAAATAATCATGTGATTTCATTTCAAATATCAAACAAGTGAAAAACATACCAAGACGAAAGGGGTAAACGGAGGTTCCCCATTCATTCTTGGCCATATGAACATCAGAATGGCATATCCCACAGTAAAGCACCTTGAATGCTACATCCTTTTCACCTGTTGCCCTCATGTGTAAATATATATCAACAATCAAGCAAAATCTTGGAAGATCGAATATGGGCAACTGGTTCACAGTTGGATTGATGATGAAAAGTTGATTTTTTTTAAAATGCACCTTCTGGAAAATTTGAAGGGGATAAAACACCGGAACTGTCTCTGGCTGCCCATCCAAAAGCCGTTGGGGTGTTCTTTTTCTGGCACCGTTGTTATCGTCGGATTCATAATTGTTTGATCTGTTAGTTTCAAAGCAAAGCGATTGGTTGTTCAAATATTGATACTTGTACGTAGTGTTGTCATTGCAGAATGGTACGGGAAGAAGGGTTATTTATAGCCATAGACATAGCGGTAATGCTGACGTACTGGGTGAGCAAATAAGGATCTGGGCAGCCTCACGCAATTACTCCAATGCCAATTTAGTAGTTTTTTAATAAGGTACGACTGGGTAGTAATAATTATTCAGAATTTTATTAATTAATTAGTATTGTATATATATTTTATAAACATAATTGCTTGAAGTTAGAATATTTAACAAGAATAATATTTTATTCTATTAATAAGATCACTTGATGTGTTCATACCAATTTAATATACCTAATGTCTTAACATGATTTATTCTAATTAAACAGTATTTTTAATGTATTAAGAAAGTGACATAGTTAAATCTATTGAGTAACCTTAATAATCAAAAAAAAATTATTCTCTTTGAGATTTTGAATTTAAGTAGCCGCGCATGTAAAATCATGTGTGTTGTTAATGATTAAGAAAAATCATCAACAAATATTAGCTTTTAATCATATCCGATTATTGAAAAAAATTTGACATAATTAATATTTGATTAAGTAATTATATATATATCCTAATTAGTAATTATTGATATGCAATTGTTATTTATCTATTATAATCATTATAAATTTATTTTTCAAATTTTCTTTCATTTTCTATTTATTCTTTTTATATTATTTACTTTAATAATTTTTCAAATAAAAATATATATATTTTTATTTTTTTTAGCATATATTTTTTAGATTGTATGTAACGCCGCTTCTTCAATTAATGTTATTCAATTATCTTATTGGTCTTTTGATTTGAATTTTCAAACTATTTATTTTGTATTGACATGCATTCATCACCACATATATTTCACATTTGAATTGTGATAAAATCAGTTGTTAATATGTTATTATTCTTATATTTACTTTTATTAGTATTGGCAGTGTTTATTTTTTACATTCAACAATATATTTATTATATAATTTATATTTGAATTATTTGATTTATATTTTTAAAATGTTGTATGATCATGTTTTTATTTAATGATTAATTTATATTCTTTAAACGTTTTAAAAAACATAATTGATTAATGTAATTAATTTATTTTATATATTTTCTTCAAAATATAAGTTTATTACGGTTTATTATTTAGTAAAATTAAAAAGGATATAACAAGCGCAAAACTTTGAAAAGTAAAATTTGTGATGACGACAACATTTTTGTTTAACTGTAAAAGTAAAATCTGTACAGCTTTCTTTTTATTATAAAATTTCAGATATTATATAGGGTAAAATACAATAGTCTCTAACTAATATATTATTTGTTGAGTCCGCTAACTATTAAAAGTTATAAAATAATCTTTTGATTATAGGGTGTTACTTTGTTAAGTCTTCGACTATTAAAATTTATAAAATGATCATTCAACTATTCATATGTTATAAAATGACCATTCAAGTATTTAGGGTTTAGGTGATTTCAAAACCGTTTGAGTTGTATTTTGTGGATCGAGTTTTCGTTTACATTATATCGAGCCAATGTTTAAAATATTATATCGCTGAGTTAGTGCTTGAAAAACAATAAATGGTACCAATAGACATCATTAAATGATCTTGACATATCTCAATCAGAAGGTTAACGTTCAGCTCAGACGGTCATCGATTTTTTAATGAAAAATTAAGAGATAGATAAATATGACAAAGTAACTATTTTGTAACTTTTATAGTTATAAAACTCAACAAATAATATACTATAATCGAGAGGTCATTATGTAT